GTAAAGGGTTGAAAATATCTTCTTTGGGCCCTTTGAACCATCCTTGGATCTCTTAATTCTTCTTTTTGATATTTCACTTTTTTTTGGAGTGCCTTAACTTACTTGGATGTTACAACTACCTCGTCTTCCTCCATCCCTTCTATTCTAACTTATTGAAATCTCATTAATTTAACATCATGTCATGTTCCTCATATAGTGCTTGGTTGTAACGACTGGGCTGAACTCGATGACTCTAAAAAGACGGGTAAATTTTTCAACAAAATAAAATAACCAAAACTTAAAACATATCAAACAAAATAAAGTTTATACAAAGTATTTTAAAACACAACACAACAGTTAAAACACAAGTTAAGGGACGACACAAAAGGATAGAAGGACGACGAGTGAGGTTTGTCTATGGCACCTGCTCCAAAGTCCGCTCCCGACCTCGACCAGCTCCTTATTTCCTGAAAAAAAAATGGAGAATAAGGATTGAGTACAAGACTCAGTAAGCAGCCTACTTGTAGGCTCTTAATCGTGTCCTTGATATGCTAGGGTACCACACTTTTTGTTTTCTTGTCCTTGTTCTTATTCTTGTCGTAAGTTCTTGTTATGTTTCTTAACTCGTTCTCCAAGACACTCCCCTTAAGATTTACAGTACTAGACATAAATTTGTTAATCCTGTGTCCAAGGCTTCATATGTTCCAAGCGACATAGTCTTAATACCTACGCTCAAGGCTTCTTACGTTCCAAGCAGCGTAGTCTAAGTCATACACATGACGTACCGTGGGAGGTCTTAGGAGATTCTTAATTCATGGCAAGGGTAACTTACTCTCTTCTTGCTCCATTGTGGCCATAGGTTCTCCCCATGTAGACCATAAAGGTCACGTGATCGATACATGCATGAACATGGCATAGACCATAAAGGTCGCATAATCTAACATAGACCATATAGGTCGCATGATCTAACATAGACTATATAGATCGCATGATCGGTGCATACATGAACATGGCATCCTGCAAATCATACACATGGTGCAGGGCATCTCATCTAGGTGAGGGGAATGAGGCCAAACATGACATCCTACAAAGCAAACACGGTGCAGGTCATCCCACCTAGAAGAGGAAAAAGGCCTCCTTAGAAAGCACTGCATGGTGGGAGTTATGGGCCACAATTAGACATGCTTAGAGTAATACCTAGCAATCTTGAATTTTGAGTCTTGAGGACTTTGGTCCCTTATTTTTTAGTGGTACCTGGCATTCTTCTTGTTTTGGTGATTGTATAGCTTGTTCTTAATTCTTAATCTTATAAGTTTCTAAGATTCTTATTTTTCTTGAGGCCCAAGTTGTTATATACATTCGTGATCATATGAACCCATCGTAATAACTAGCATGAGTTATTCTAGAAGGTCATAAGTTTATAATGGGCTCCTTAGAGGGTTCTAGAAGGGTCTTGAATCTTGACATGTTTTCTTTAGGCATTTCCCTAAGTTCCATCTTGGCTTATATTCCAAACTTCCTCCAACCAACTTGAAATCTTGAGCTTATCCTCGTGTCATATAAAATAAACCTTATAGGATATGGTTGGTGGTTTGGAGCATATTTAGACCTTGAGCTAAGATATGACTTCTTGTTTCGTTTCCAGGAACTAATCCTTAGAGGTTGTCATGTCATATATCGTGTTTTAGTCTTGAAAACACTTTCAAAGTAACCCTTAGTTTTCTCCCCATGAGTGCATAGGTGACATTATCACAAACGTGGCATCCTGCTAGCATATCGTGTTGCAAGACATCTCATTTAGGTGAGGAAATTAATAAGTCCATCATTACCACCTACTCGTGGTACATATAGCAGAGCATCTCACCTAGAGAGGAATAGGGATCTCATGGTACACTTCATGATGGGAGGTTACTCCGGGCATGGATCCTAGCAACTTGTTAAACATACCATCTGCATTAACCTAGGCGCTTCCTTGTATTCTTGGGGATCCTAGGTTTATGCATAACATCTTGGGTCAAGCTTGGAACTTAAAGGTTCTTCTTAGGAATAGCCTAACATAACCTTGTGCACTTAGAATCTTATTAGCAACAAAGGGTACCTATGGGAAATCTCTTATTTCATGGGTACCTCGTTAATCATCCTAGGACGTAAAGTCATGTGGATCGTGATGTACATTTTTTTTCCATATCTTGGTTTCGCTATCTAACGTTTTCCAATGACTCCCAAACTTTATTACCTTATACAACATCATGAGATAAGGATTCATACAACATTTCATAATCATGGGAGGTCATTTAGGGCTTAACCTATAGGTAGTCTTCCTTAGGGGCATTATGGTCATTTTACCCCTAATTCTTGGTTTTTCTACTTAACGAGTTCCAGTGGCTTTCAAACTTCACCACCCCATCAATCATCATACAGTAAGATCTACTGTAGAGTTTCATAGCATTTTGAGGTCATCTAGGTCATGAACCGTAGGTAGAGATCCTCAAGGGCATTATGGTCATTTTGCCCTGTTTCTTGGTTTACCTACTTATCCTTATCCATTGACCACTAAATTTCACACATAACCTCAAAATGCTATAATATGCTCATCATTAAAATTTCATAGGCACCCGGGCTCATTTAGTGGGTTATTTTAATGTTCCTTCAATCCCGAGTAATTTGGTTGGTTTAGGGCCTTAACTTACGGTTCTTTGAGTTTTTCTTTCATAGATCCCTGTGTAATACTTGGTTTAGGATTCATATGAAAAACCAAGCGATTCCTACAAGTATTTCTTAAGAAAAGTCCAAGGTGGCTACTTACCTCCATCGGTGATGTTCGGGACCTCCGTTCTTGAGCTTTCAGTATTCGAATTACTTCGCATTTCCTTCCATAGACTCCTTATTTTGTCCAGTTTTTGGAACCATAAGGTTTGTCATGAGAACCGGCCTGGAAGGGGGTTAAAATTGAGAAACACCGAGGGAAGGCCAGATTTTGGGCTGACTTGGCCGGTTCAACTGAACCGGCCACGTCATCGTCTTCTTCCTCTGGACAGGAAGAAGACGCGCGCGTCCTTTGCGCCGCCGTCTGGAAGTGGCCTTCCACAGCCTCGATATCTTCGTTTATCCCCTCAATTTCTTCATGAAACTTAACGATGATATTACAAGGAAGAGCTTGGGATTGATTTCATACCTTTTCGTGGATCATAGCCTAAGATATTAGCCTCCAAAGTTCGTCCAAAAGCATTTTCCTCGCCGGAGCATAAAACAGGGAATTTCTTATCGGGTAGCCGATTCTAGGGGTTTTCAAGGCTCGATTTCTTCATGGAACCTCTTCCATATCCTTTCCTCAAGCTATAGGAAGAATTGGTTTGGAGGAACGTCTTTGAGTGTGGAACATTAAATTCCAGAAATCGTTCTCTGTATGCAACTCACCCGAAATGCCGGATTTCAAATCTCTTGGATATCTTATTCTACGTCGTTTCAGCTCTCGATTCCTTCATCGAACTTGTCGGTAATCTTGTTTGGAAACTATAGGAATAAGTTTGAGGAGGAATGGTGGAGAATTTCTCTCGAATTTGGAAGAAACCTGAGAGTAGGAGACCCACAATCTAAACGCTCATAACTCTCGAATGGGTGCTCAACCTTGCTCGAGCCTTGTTCCATATTGTTGCCCCTACTTCAGACTTTATAGGAGGAGCTTAAACCGACATTGAAAGCTCCAGATTCGTCGTGATTCGGAGATTGAACGTTCTGGATAATTTGTCAGAAAATTCGCTTCGATTAGGGGTTTACCGACTTTAATTTTGAATACCAGCCGTTGGATGTGATGATCTGTCCGTTGTCTAGATCTTATCCAAATTTGGGGAAGATCCAACAGCTGAGATTTGAGTTTCTAGAGATATTTCTCAGATGGTCACGGTAGATGCTCTGATTCTGATCAGAAGGGCATTTTCGTTATTATCCATTCTTCTAGGGGTATTATGGTAATTTTCACTTTTTGAATATTTTAATATTATTTTTCTTGAAAAATCCATAATTTTTTCTAAAAATCCTTCATCTCATGTTGATCATTTTCCGCTTGTTGAGCCTCTTGAAATCCTTCTAGATAAGGAACTAAAAATCCGAGAAGATCCTTAATAATTAGAAAAATGACCTTTTAGCCCTTTTCACTTACTTTTACTTTCCAATCCTTTTTCCATAGGTCTTACACTCCTTAACATTACTTGTTAGGTATAAGAATGACTTGCTTGAGATCATCATCCTTGCTAAATCCTTTAATTCTTCCATTTTTGATCATTTGGGTCTTACATGGACGGCTTATTCTTGTTGGATCTAATTCCTTTCATTTTTGGATGTTACATTGGTAGCCATAAACCTAGTCATAACTTAAAGTAAATGACACAAAGTAAGGCGACGCAAACACAAGAATGAAAGACCTTTCATATTCCACCAACGGTTTTCCCTTTTTCTTATGACTTCATCGTGTACAACATAGGAAGAACTTACTAAGGGTCTTTCATCAAAGAGACATAAGCTAACTCATCAAAAAGTTCCAAAGACAAGGCTACGACATTAAAAAGTTCAAGAATTTGGATGTTAATTAACTTTTTATCGAGAATGTTTAATCTACAACTTCCTTAGAAAAGTCTTTAAAAATAGCCTGTTTGCTTTAGAGATTGTAACCCATCTACGGTTGAGATGTTGGGGTTCCTGGGGCTTACTTACTCTCCTATTAGTTTATCAATTGCAAAAGAATAACCAATGGTAGTTAAGCCAAAAGAGTAAAGAACATCTAGTTGTTGCTTTCGATAATCACCATTTATAAGCTGTCTTTTCTTTTCTTTCTTCTCTTGATTCTTCCATGAAATTAGTGTTGTGTTATTGAATCCTATGAAATTCAACTTTTGAGCTTTATCGTGAAATCTCACATTGGTTGGACAGGAAACGAATCATTCCTTATATAATTATGTCCGAGTGGTTCAAGAGGAATTCTACTCACATTGGTTGGATAGGGAACAAATAATTCCTTATATAAGTATGTCCGAGAGGTTAAGGAGGAATTTTGCAATTGACAACTTTTTAGCTTTATTGTGAGATCCCACATTGGTGGAATAGAGAATGAATCTTTTCTTATATAAGCGTGTCAATATGTTTGAGTTGTTAAGAGACAGACTTGAAATCGGTTGGGTTTTGCTTGCACAGGTTCAAATCTTGTTGTGATGACTTTATTTAGCTTTATTGTGAAATCCCACATTTGGAACGAAATGACTTTTTTAACTTTGGATAGGGAACGAATCTCCGAGTGGTTGACGAGGAATTCTGCTATTGGCGACTTTTTAGCTTTGTCGAGAAAGGGTGTCAATACGTCCTAGTGGTGGCGACTTTTTAGCTTTGTTGAGAAGGGGTGTCAATATGTCCGAGTGGTTAAAGAGGAATTCAACTTTTGAGTTTTATTGTGAAATCTCACCTCGATTGAATAGGAAATGAATCATTCCTTATATAAGGGGCATCAACATGTCTGAGTGGTTAAGGAGATAGACTAGAAATCTATTGGGCTTTGCCCATGGAGGTTTGAATCCCGTTGTTCACAACTTTTTAGCTTTATTGTTAAATCCCACATCGGTTGGATAGGAAACAAATCATTCCTTATATAAGGGGTGTCAATATGTCTAAGTAGTTAAGGAAAACGAATCATTTCTTACATAAGGGGTGTCAATATGTTCGAGGGATTAAAGAGACAGCGCAGGTTCGAATTCTGTTGTTGACTCATTCCTTATATAAGGATAGCCTACGAGGTGTCAATATGTTTAGGTGCTTAAAGAGATAGCAGGTTCGAATTCTGTTGTTGAATCATTCCTTATATAAGGATAGCCTACGCATCATTCCTTATATACTTGAAATCAATATGTCCAAGTAGTTAAGGGAAACGAATCATACCGTACATAAGGGGTGTCAATATGTTCGAGTAGTTAAGGAGACAACACAGGTTCGAATTCTGTTGTTGAATCATTCCTTATATAAGGATAGCCTGTGCATCATTCCTTAAATAATTGGTGTTAATATGTCTAGATTTGAAATCAAGTTTGAATCCTTCGAGAATTTTTAGCTTTCTTGTGAAATCTCAAATCGGTTGAACAAGGAAAGAATCATTCCTTATGTAAGGGGTGTTAAAATGTCTGAATGGTTAAGGAGGTAGACTCGAAATCTATTGGACTATATCTGTTTAGGTTTGAATCGACGAATTTTTTAGATTTATTGTGAAATCACACATCGGTTGAACCAGGAATGAATAATTCTTTATATAGGGGTGTCAGTATGTCCAAGTGGTTAAGGAGACAGACTTGAAATCTATTGGGCTATGCTTGCTTGTTGACGAATTTTTAGCTTTATTGTGAAATATGACATCGGTTGAACAAGGAACGAATAGTTTATATAAGGGTGTCAATATGTTCGAGTGGTTAAGGAGATAGGCTCAAAATCTATTGGGCTATGCCTGTGCGGGTTCGAATCCTGTTGTTGACGAGTTTAGTTTTATTGTGAAATCATACATCTCTTGAACAAGATTCTTTATATAAAGGTGTTAGTATGTCCGAGTTAGTTAAGGGGATAGACTTGAAATTTGTAAGCAGGTTCAAATCCTATTGTTCTCGAATTTTTAGTAGTTCGAGTGGTAAAATTTTTTTAGCTTTATTGTGAAATCTCACATCAGTTGAACAAGGAACGAATCATTCCTTACGAATTTTGAATCGACGAATTTTTTTAGCTTTTAGTAGTCCGAGTGGTTAAGGATCTGTTGGGCTATGGCTGCTAAGGTTCGAATTCGCATAGACGAATTTTTTTAGCTTTATTGTGAAATCTCAAACCAAGTGAAAGGAGCGCGATAGAGTGGTATCGACGACAAATTTGTTAGCTTTACTGTGAAATCACACATCGGTTGAACAACAAGAAACAAATAATTCTTTATATAAGTGTGTCAATATGTCCCAATGGTTAAGTGAAAGGAATAATTCCTTATGTAAGGGGTGTCATTGTGTCCGAGTGGTTAAGGAGACAGACTCGAAATCTGTTGGGCTATGCCTACGCAGGTTTGAATCCTTCTATTGGAATCTCACATCGGTTGAACAAGGAACAAATCATTCTTCATATAAAGGTGTCAATATGTCTGAGTGGTTAAGGAGACAGACTTGAAATCTGTTGAGCTATGCCTGCGTAGGTTTGAATCCTGCTATTGACGAATTTTTTGCTCAAGAGATGTCAGTATAAGGAATTTATAAGGGTGTGTGAACTTCAGTTATAATATAAGTAGTTCTCAGTGAAAGTATATGCAAACGAAAAATTGGAAGAAGTAAATGTTAACCTTGTTAAACGAACACGACTCTCCACAATGGTATGATATTGTCCACTTTGAGCATAAGCTCTCATGGCTTTGCTTTGGGCTTCCCCAAAAGGCCTCATACCAATGGAGTTAGTATTCCTCACTTATAGACCCATGATCACACCCTAAATTAGTCGATGTGGGACTTCCATCATCCAACAAACCTGTTGGCCAAAGGGGAAGATCTCAGTGAAAGTATATGCAAACGAAAAATTGGAAGAAGTAAATGGAATGACCCATGTATAGATAACGAAAAATTGGAAGAAGTCAATGGAATGACCCATGTAGAGATATTCATCTGGCAAACGAAAAATTGGAAGAAGTCAATGGAATGACCCATGTAGAGATCGAACTAAATGGAATGACCCCAGGTAGAGATATTCATCAGTGTTAACCTGTTGACCAAAGGGGAAGAACAGGTACCAAAGGGGAAGAACTAAATGGAATGACCCCCGAACTAAATGGAATGACCCCCAGGTAGAGTGACCCCCAGGGTACAGTTTGACCTGTTGACCAAAGGGGAAGAACTAAATGGAATGACCCAGGTATGGAATGACCCCCAAGTAGAGATATTCATCTGGCAGTGATTTCAGTGTTAACCTGTTGACCAAAGGGGAAGAACTAAATGGAATGACCCCCCCAGGTAGAGATATTCATCAGTGTTAACCTGTTGACCAACGGGGAAGAACTAAATGGAATGACCCCCCAGGTAGAGATATTCATCAGTGTTAACCTGTTGACCAAAGGGGAAGAACTAAATGGAATGACCCAGGTATGGAATGAGTGTTGACCT